AGGTTGGGAAAATCGTATTATTCGAACCGCTCATTCTTCGCAAATTATGATCAATTGGTGGCGCTAACGAAATAATATCAAGACGGTTTTAGCAATTGAAGGTATGGCTACATCCTCAATTGGATAGATAACTTTGTAGACACGTTCATTGAATTTTCATTGAACGACTGCTTGCAAAAATTAAGTCTAGCCTTCCTTCGTTATATTATAACTGTCGTTGATAATGACAAAAATATTCATAAGCACATGACGTTCAATGACTTATTGAATAACTCGTAAAATAAAAAACAAAGTGTTTATATTTGACGATAAACTTCGTAATTTTATGAAGATAATTCTATATTTAGTTTATTCTACTTCTAGATTTAGAGATCATGCTCTAATGGACTAAATTTCAGTTTTACGAGTACAAAGGTGTTATTCATCGCAATTTAATATCTAAATATACGAAGTGATCGATAAAACCATGAAAACGCTGAACGATTTAAGACGAAATATCTCAAGTGTATTCGATCTCATTAAATAAAATTAAGAAATATATCTGGCACTTATCATATGTTCATGAATTAATACACCGAGATTCTATTCAATTTTCTTAATTTAATTTGCCATTAATTTTCTAAAGAATAGACTAGTTTATTTGAATTATCGAAAGAAGAACATATTTTAACAATATAATTGATATTTTAATGATCTTTAATGTTTCAAAACATTATTCTTTGAATACAATGAAACTAGATGGTAATTTATACATTACTAAAATTAATTCCGAATTAATGTATTGATATAAGAAATGTCTAAGTATGATATTTATACCATATTTATTCAAAACTAAATAAAAGTTAATTATTACTAGAGACAAGTACTTTTACCGTTTCATCCATCTAATTAAAGCAGTGAGATGATTTATTAATGCCAATTGATCGTTGCACTATATAAAAAATTCCCGTCTTGCTGTTGAACCACATACACACACTCATATAAGTTTGGCAACAAGCCAAAATCTTTTGGAACAAATACGAAAGTAGAGAAACACATATAGACGATTGTGTGTCAAAAAGTACTTGTCGGTAAGCTCGAAAGTTGTCTTGGCCTATGTCCAAATTCTATTAAGACGGGATTTGATGCTATGAGTTTTTGCATTTATAGTAAACTTATGTTTTCCCATATAACTCGATTTAATATATAACTTACGCTAAAATTTTTAAGGTGCTAATAATTTCGAGAACTTATAATATTTACTTTATTATTTTAGTTTATTAAAAATGAGACTTTTAATGATTATAATTTTTGTTGAGAAATTGAAAATTTATTTATTCGTCGGTAAATAAACAGTGTATTCAAGAATTTAGTAAACATAAGTTTTAAGATAATGCAATTCAACCGATTAATTGGATTCCTTCTTTCACCACTTCAAAGTAATAACAAATCAAGAGTAAAATAACTTTTAGCTAATATCTATACTAAGAATTATAGATCTTCTTATTTTACATAAATATAGACTGAAATTATAAAGTTCAATGAGCATTATGAGTAATTTATCTGTATCTAATAAATAAAATCTATATAAGATACTTTTATACATAGATAATATAAATAAACATTAGTCTTGAAAATAATAGACCTTTATAGATGTCTATCGATAAAGTATAAATTCGGCAGAAAAATTATTAATATAGATATATAAAAGTATTGAAATATAAGTTCTTGATATATACATAAAATCATGAATAATAGTTATGATAAAATAATAAATGATTAAATATTTCATTTTACTAAATATAAATTTTTAGTTTCTGGTTTTTCTTTAAAGTATTCCTCAAATACGTAACATGTTAATACACGATATTCGACAATTTCTATTATAATATATTCAATGTCTCTTTGTTATTTAATATTTAAATTCTTGATTGATATGATATATTAAAGTAAATATTAAATTAATGGTATTTAACATATAATTATTAAAAATAAATCGATAATCAAAAATTGTTATTTTCGTTTGAAAACACGTACAACGGATATACGCCTTTCATTTTTAACATTATATATATAATTATAAAATACTTTTATTATTTTTAACTTAACAAAAAAAAAAAAAAAAAAAAAAAAAAAACGCTGATATTTAAAAAAAAAAAAAAAAAAAAAAAAAAAAAAAACGCTGATATTTAAAAACATAAAAAAATTTACCATGGAAATATATAAAGTTATTTAATACAAAATTAATATTTACCCATAATTAACAAACCCAAATAAATAGATAAAAAAAATTTTGATCTACTTATAACTATTAATTCGAATAACTTATTATGTATAAACTATACAAATATGAAATAATTCTTTATTGCATGCAGATTTACAAATTTTCTGGACCAAATTAATTCACATTTAGTTTATAAAACAACAACATATAGTTTCCATAACATTTTAGTGAATATATATTCAATTAGTGATAATGATCTCTATTGTATTACAATGGAAATGGATGGTAAGTATTCAGTATTATTTAATTTAATTATTAAATATAAAATATAATAAAGTTTAATAAATAATTTTGATTATTAATATAGTTCGGTTGATGCATTTTAAATTAAGATATTCATTCGTTTTTCCTACATTCATAAAATAAATGCACAACAATTAAAAATAATATTTTTTTTTTTATTGAAACGTATGATTTAACAAAAGAGAATTGATAAATTTTTAATGTTGCCTATGAATTCTAAGAACTTTAAAATGTACAAAAAAAAAAAAAAAAAAAAAATTATAAATCAATTTATAGAATAGATCTATCAATAACATTATTATTACAATAAATATTTTAATAAAATTATTAAATATTTAAATATTTAACTCTTATATTTGAATGATATTTAATCCCGGTGAAAATTAATAAATTATATTTTATTTTTTAACCAACTAAGGCCGTTGAAATTATTTTTAAACATTATGATTTATTCATTCTGATTGTTAAACGTTAATTAATTCATTATCAAGCGTAATCAAATAATTATTTTTCTCATTGTACTTCAATCTCCTAGTGTCATTAAAAACTATATCCAGTATCCAATTATAAAAGGTATGTAAGTTAAAATATATTTGAGCTTCAGATATCTGCATTATATCAATATTTTTAGTTTTTTACCTTTTCTTTATTACTCTATAACTTTTACATATGAATATTATCATATTTGCCTTACTTTTCTAATAATACTACGAGTATTCAGATTTATCCGCAATTTAGATACATTCGCACTAACTTAATTTTTGTTCTTTGATCCTTTTATCGTAAATAATTAAACGATATAGAATATGGAAATATAATTTATTCGCTTAATTAATAAAAAAAGAATCATCAAACTTACAAAGTACACTGCTTGATGAAAAATATTTGCGAATGCTCGGACACTTACAAATTCCACGTACAAAAGCCAAAATTCCAAATGAGCACATTTATACAAAATAAATCTTCATATACGAATATATTTATCAATTATATTTAATAAGTATTAATACTTTGATTAATTCTATTTATCTACTTACATACTTATCTACTTACGCATTTTGGTCTTATCTACTTATCTTTTTATCTTTTCATCTATTTATATACCTACATATATAGGATTTTATGATTTTTGGAGTTTTTGTTTTTCTTTTTTTAATAACTTTTCAATATACTTTTCGTAAATGTAAAATTTTAAATATATAATTTAAGCAAATAATAAACAATATATTACTAAAATTTTTCGTGTTTACAGTTATATGCACAAACTAATACATTATAATTAACATAAATAACCTCGAACAATACACTCCGTAAGTATTATTGAAATTCTCTAAAGTGAAATTAGTATAATAAAAATTTACGATAAAACTCTGTATAAAAATATATACTTATGTAATATTCAAAAAATATTATCACGTTTCAACTAATACGGTAAACAATAAACATTGACTCTTTAATTTAAATTAATGATCATATTACATTCAATTCTCATTATAGAATAAGAATATGGCCGATAAGTTTTCAATTACATTGTATCTTTATTTATTTAATTTATCATCTAACCTAGAAATCTAACTTTTCATTTTTCCCCCCGTCAATAGTTATATTTACAGTTAAAAAATTGCTATTTGAATAGCAAAATTAATTTTTTCTATTGTGACTTTCAACCGTTCTTTAAACTATCGTATAATAATCTATTAAGCTTGATTGACAAAGAAAGACAGAATTATTTTATAATAAACCATAAATGTTAACTGTAATGTAAGAAATGACGCACTCCGATGAAAATTTTAATTCACCATTAAACAGTATTGTCAATTTATCGATTAACATTACAGTTTGCATAATATTTAAAAAATTATAAAACTTCGATGGATATATGTTACGCATAGTAATTAAGTTTTTATGTAAATATAAAGAAAAATTCAGAAAAGAACTGCATTTGTATTGAATTAATTTATAAAACAAAAAAAGTTTAAATGTTAAACAAGGTGTAAAAAATCTTAATTTATATATAAACATTTTATATATTCTATATTTCAATAGGATAAATCTTTAATTTGTAAATGAAATTTAAATCTAGCCAATACGATTTAAAGAAAATTTTTGTTACTTATTTTTTAGAAGAGATTTGTAATAAAAGTTCACAGAATTAAGGCAATATTTTACTTAAATTGCTAATTATATTCATTATTCGGTAATGATATTTCATTGCAATCAATGATAAGCCCTAGTTAACTTCGTAAAATCACACTTACACAGCTCAAGCTACAGTATACGAATGCCTCACGTTTTCAAACTTGATCGTAGTACCCTTATCGAATTCAAGGAAAATCGTCGACAACGTATTTAAAGGCTTAAATTGAAAAATGTACTCGAAAACATCGAGGGCATTTATTCGAAGAGATAAGTCACTGGACCACAGGCTGATACGAACTCCGTCAATGATTGATTGAGCGCAAACTCTTACTGAATAGCAGAAAACGCGCGAATCAGTCAGAGATTCTCAAAGGTTGGAATTATCGTAGCTGAAGGACGTCCTTGCGGGCAATCGTGGTAGTTCCAACGTCGATGCCTTACCCTCGTCGTCAATGTAGTTTCGATTGTCGTGACCCTCCGTATCGGCAGAGCTGTTCCCGTCCTTCTTCGGACCATCCATCAGGAACATTGTCATGAGGAACATGAGTGAGCCTGTAGCGTTGTTAGATATGCAGAAATTAGAAATGTGTATAAATAGCAAATGTATATGATACAATCAGTTACCCATGCGTTCCGATTGCATCTATTTAATAAATAAAAATAATTCGACGGAATATTGTTGTAAAGTATTTTAAGTTTATAAGACGTGCGTAGAATAATTGATATGCAAGATTTTTTAATCAATAAGTGAAACTAATCATAATACACATTCTTAAAGATTATTAATGATTAATTATTATTGAGCTTTTTAATTTATGGGATGCGAGATTGTTTCTTAATAAGTTGCTCGTTACTAGTAGAGAATGTCGTAATGATTAGGTTTAACTAGAAGAATTGAGTTATGAAAGAAGAAAATTGCCTTAACGACACGTACTTATGTTACAAATTTAAAAATAAATATATACACAGCGCTACAGAAATTACTATTATGGCATTCCTAAATTAATGCAATATAATTATATTTTTTAAAAAATAGTTAAACGTATAATATAGTTTGCGAGGAAAATACTTTTCGATATATTAGAATAATTATTATTATACATCATATAAATTCTTCAATAATGTTAATCAAAGAGAAAATATTGGCAGTTTAGACTCTGATATATTTCAATTAAATATAAAGAAAATGATAAAAAAATATTAATTATTATATAATTAATTTTTGTATAAAATATAATGCAATTGCAGCGAAAATATCAATTTGAGAAATTCTCTTAACTAGACAATAAATAATTTAATTCATTAACAATATAATATATTAATAAATAATCCAATATAAATATCTTTTAAGTAATAATAGTAATTATGGCTAAATTTGATTCTCAAGAATTGTATTTATCAGAAATTTAAGTTATTTTAGTTTTTAATTATTCAACAAATAAATTAATATAACTTTAATAAGTTTCAAGCCGTTTAAAAATTAATGATATTTTTTTTTTTTTTTGCTCTATCGTATTATATTACACAATGATACTATTCTTACATGTGTGCATGAAGTCTAATTCTCGGTATACACATATATATATATATATATAGATGTGATATAAATATAGATCGTTCGATGGAATCAGGTCGACATGAATTTCGGTTCTTGGCAAAATTGACAATGCTCGTGAGTATAGCTGACAACAAATTATCTTTTAAAATATTATTTATTAAATTTGTCTAATGAATGCACCCATGTAAATCTTAATAAATTGAAAATCGAGGTACATCGTAAATTCATAAAGAACAGTTTTCTTAACTTCTTATTCATATGACATGTGATGTATATAAAATAATGATAATCTCTGGTCATTATCCTGATTTTTAAATTCAAATTGTGTGTCCATGTATGTAATAAAAGTTCGTTCGTAAAAATAATTCTTTTAAAAACGACATAATCTATGTGATGATTTCTTATTTATAGAGAAGGTGCCAACTTACTTATTCCATAGAATCCAGCGTAAAAGATATATAAAGATTCCCTATATCCAATAGTCTTACTCGTTGGTTCAACGAGTATAGGCAAGTTGCCGCCGATATTATTCATCACGAAAAGAAAAATGCCAACTGTTGTCGATCTCATGCTTAACGGCACAATTTCCACGAGAATGGCAAAAACAATGCCGAACCACATTTCAGCTGAAAATAAAATTTGACAATTGAAAAATCAGCTTCGGTAAGATATATACGATATTTGTTAACAAAATTATTTACAAAATTTTTTCTGATTCAATCACTAAAATTGAATATCAATCATTATAATATTATATTTTATTTACTATAATAAAGATGTCACAAAAGACGTTTATATTTTCTTCTTAAGATTGTCAATGCGTTGGTAGTTATAAATTCTAGGATTTCACGCGATTATACGACTCAAAACAGAGTAACTGCACTTTGCAGATACATTATTTTACTTTTCTTTTGATGCTTATTGAGCAAAAACTCGTTTATTTGTCGTATTTTCTTTTCAACATTGGCATTATTGTCTAAAAATTTGATTTAATAGCGCAATAATCAGAGTAGTAATGTGGCCTCTTTCACGTGAGATTGTCTTATTTGCATGCACTCTGAGTAAATTTCCCTCAACGTTATTCTAGAAATAATCTCCGTTACCTACTCTTGAAAAAAAGTAAATTATTATTTAGATTGATATTTGAAAGGCTATTTATCGTTTTCACTATAGAGAGTATAGAGTTTACATTACTATTTATAATTAAGAATATTGAAAATAATTTTAATACTCGGATATAGAATTCGAATGAATGTATTATTAAATGTTGCAAATTTGTTTTTAAAAAAAATGTAAATATACGGAATGTACGGATTATTATATTTTGAAATTTGTAACGCGAAGATAAAATACTTTTTTTTTTTTAAGAATAATTTTTTTAATGAAATATTAGAGTAGAATTACGCTATCTATGTAGAATAAGTAGCTGTCTATTTTCTATCTATTAACATGACTTGAAAAATCAAAGTTTTGTGAATATTACAACTTTGGATTAAAATTTCAAAAGTTAAATATTAATATATAGCGTTTCAACGAATTTAAGCGTCTTTAATCAATGATTAATAAAATATAACGAAAAAAAATGTAGTTTTATAACTAACAAAAAACTTTGGCACAATATGGATATAACTGTGTGTATATATATGTTACTTTGCAACAAATTACTTTACAAAACAGCACATACAATTTTGTATACTTTCATAGTGCCAAAAAATACATTACCGAAAAAGTAAGAAATTCCGAGGGTGATCATCGCCCAGAGCGGAGTAAAGTACACGGAGCCAAAGGCGAAGGGCGTGGCAATGAGTTGACTGACGACAAGAACTGCGACTCTCGAGCGGATGCCCATCTTTGCCACAAATTTGTCACTGACAACACCACCAACGACAACCCCAATACTTCCGATAACGATCGTCACGGCGAAGAGCCACCAGCCAAGATCGTAATCAGGAAAATACTCCCGATAAAACAAATCACAATTGTAGGCGAAGCACATGCCACCTGTAAGAGCACACATTGTTTCTTTTTAGTGTAAAGTTCTTTTATATCAATGTTTATATTACGTTATACAGTGTCGTATGTGAGTAGTTTTAATGTAGGAACAATAAAAATAAAACAATTTTAATAGGACACTTTTTAATATTGGCAAATTAATTGTTAAACAAACGCTTACGAGATCGTGATTTGTTGTACAATTTGGAAATACAAAGTACTAACATCTGCATAAATGAAATTTCTAGAGGCAATTTTGTAAAAGTAAATAAAATCAAAATATAATTCAAGCACGTAGATTAAAATAAGTACATTATAAACTTTCAATGTAAATTAAAGTTGAAAGTAAATAACAGTTGTTTCAAAAGGATTATTATAAAATGATATCCTTCATTCTATTAAGAGTTTAATTAAATTAACTATGTACTGCAAAATTATATTACTATAAGCTTAATATTATTCATATCAATTATGTAAAATATAATGGTATTCGATTGTTATTCGTGATATAATTTTTGAATTCTTAAGATCGTTAATAAGATATGCAATTTTTTCATTGTAATCTAAAATCGGCAATTCGTTCTATTAATAAGTTGCTAACGATACTTCTGATGTTAAAATAAAAGAAATAAGAAACAAATAACTTTATTTATTTGTTTACAACGTTATATTTATCAATGAGGCCATGAGAAAAAAATTAAGTTTCTAAAAAAAAAAAAAAAATGAAAAAAAAAATTCAAATAAAACGAACTATAATTTTATGCAAAAATATCTGCGTTTTTTTTTCAACGTTCATCCGATGCATAAAGCAGTCATAATTGCGTCTTCTTATTTCTAAACAAATTTAAATATATATATTCTGAATTTCTAGTAATTGCAAGCCAAATATTACAAAATCTACCAAAGACAAATATACATTCAATAGCGTTTTGCTACTTCAAAATTATGTTCGTAGTTGCGTGAGTTATATATAAGTGTATATTATAAAAAAAAAAAAAAAAAAAAAATAATAAAAACTTTGAAACTAATATACCTGCAATATTTAATTATGGTATAAATTATATTAAAAGTATGGCTATAATGAATCGAGCAATGTATATTATGAAACAAGAGACCAAAAGAAAATATTAATCGTTACTAGTGTAATGCATATTTCTCGTACAATAGGTCGTTTATTTAAATTAAATAATCTAAATTAAATTATAAATATCATTTGAAATTTCATTAAAGTTCGTTTGACGGATTTTAAACTACTACTTTTAACTAAAACTTAATTAACCTGATGTTATTCTTTAATTAACTAAATAAATAGATTTTCATTTTCATTGCACGGCTTAAATGAGTTTTGTGAAATTAAAATTTAGATATAATTTTTACGCCATTTGTTATTTTGATAGAGATAAATTTTTTATTTCTAATCTAATAAAGAATATTTATTTAGTACATAATAATAATTTATTTTTCAAACTTATTCCAATGCTGCGGTCAAAATTATTGTTTCATGTAGTTTAGTAATGCATTTTAGTATGAAAAATGCATCATTGATTTTGATCTGAAATTGGAGTTACTTAAATCAAAATGCTTCGAATGATGTTAAATGCGCAGTTTTTGCTTTCAAAAATTCATAAAAAAGGTATAAATGTGAATAAATTAAAAAATTTAATTAGAACGAGAGTGTATCATATACAGTATTTAAAAATGTTGAATTCACTTAAAAGTAAAAGATTGAACTTTGAATAATGATTTTCTGCATCTGAATAGGATGAACTTTTTAATAATTATAAAATGAAAATGAAGTATCGAAGATGAATTAAGACATTATTGAGAAAAAAACATCCATGAAGAAATTTCATCTAACTTTCAAAATTTGCTAGTAATTATATATAGTAATGTTGTAATAGGAACTGGGAATATCTTATCAATAGTTTAGAAAATGTAGTTTTCAGGATAAATATGTCGCGTTATCTTCTGCATTAACTGACTAGAAATAAAAATATATTGATTTTAAAAATAAAAAACCAAATGAAATTGATCGTTTAGTTAATTAAATAAAAATTTCCTCTTAATTTTCAAAGAATTTATAAATTTTTGCTTTTCACTTATCTTTTTTCAACGTATAAAATACATTTACATTCGGCTTAATAAAATTACTGAAACAAGATTACTTTATACATCTTTCACATTATTTTAAACAAAAATTCCATTATTTTCAACTAGTCGATTACTACATAGAACGTTTCAGAACACTCACTTCTTATTTTTTCTCAAAAAATACATAAATTTTAATCATTATTTATTATTAATATCAAACACTTTACGTAATTTCAACAACAACAACAACAACAACAAAAAAAAAAAAATAAAAAAATAAAATAAATTATTTTAATTTGATTATTTTATTTTTATTAATCCGTAACACTATTAGTAATGCTATATTTTTATTAGTAATTTATTCATTTATTTACTTATAATTTAATACTATTCTATAAATTTTTTTATTTAATTCTATATAATTTTATATAAATATTTTTATATAATTATGTAAAATATTATTTGTTACCTAATAGATTTAAAATAATATTACTAGGTTTTCATTTACAGTATTTATTTTTCTCATCTAATAACGTTAATCCCTTTTTAAATAATGTTTGATTCGACTTTTTCAATTCTTTGTGATTGAATTTCTATTAGAAATGGAAATCCAGTATTTGTAAGCGCAATACCGGCATAAATGTACTCTACGGATAAACTCAAAATACGTTGTTAAATAGATTCAGGAATGAAAATTGTCGAAAAAATTTTAAAAACTAGCATTTCTTTCAATTCACTATTATTTCAAATATTATTTCAGTTATTAAGTAGGAATTTTCATTTAATCAATATTTTTAATTTCGAAATTTCTATGATACTCCCAGAGGGACGCTAAAACGCTGTAAAATACAATTAAAATAGAGCCTATGTGCTCAAATTTTTGAGGCTGCTATTTAATGAAAATTATTTAAAAGTTTTATGAAAAAAAAGAAAAACGAAACTATATGATATATATCAATAATTATAACAAGTACAATGTACTTAGCATATAATTAATACTCTCACCTATTTATTCGTTACTATTATAAAGGTACACATCTATGTAACAAATATAAAGTAACTTTATTAGGCACACATTTTAATCATAATAATTTTATTTTTTAAAATCCTTGCAAGACCTTTAATAATATATTGTTATTATATAATATATAGAAATAATACGAGCTTACCACAATGCCGGATACTGGCTGCAAGGCACAAAAGAATAATACGAGGTTGAAGAATCACTTTCCACAGAGGATCCCTTTTCCCTTCGTTCTTATTTTCCTCCCCAATGGTCGTCCTCTCGGGTTCCGTAAGTGTCAATCCGGTTAAAAATGCCAAAAATAGTCCCACTATGCCAGCACCATAGTAACACACTCTCCAACCCTAAAAATTGCGATGATTCCTTATCGTTATTCTTTTATACTATCGAATGTTGTTAAATTGTGATGGAAGACAGTTGCACACGAGGAAGAAGAAATTGAATAGAGATGGATTCTATTTAAGAATTGTAAATATCTTATTAAATCATACCAATCCCCAAGCATTTAATTCGGGGATGTATCTTCCAACAGGAAAAGCAATTCCGTAACCACCGTATATTCCCCAATTGAAGATTGACATAACTAGACCTCGTTTTTCCTCGGCGAACCAATCGGAAAGAAGACCCGTAGATAATGGATTACAGCCAGCTTCTCTGATAATTTGAAAATAATGTAATCAGCGAAAAAAGTCTTCATTTCGATTATTTATTAATGAAATATATCAAATTTTCAAGAATCTGATATTGCATATTTATTGCACTACTTTGAATTCAGAACTAAAAAGTATAATTACGTACGAAAAAACTTTTAAGCAATTTATATCGATATTTAACTATTGATTTTCATTATTAAACAAATGAAAATCTAATGTCGATTTATTTGATCAAATAGAATATTTTTCCATACGAATGTAGATTGAAATAGCATAAAGATTTTTAATGAAAATCATTTTTAAGAAAATTACTTTATATAAATAATAATGAATAATAATAAATGCAAATGCTATTGTTACATTGTAAATAATTAATTTTTTGTTCTACAAAATTGATATATACTTTTAAATACGATATAAACTATATTAATGAATTGAAAATAATAACGATTTATAACCATTATTTACTTGACAATTATAATTAATATATGTTAATAATATAATTAATAATGCTTAATATATATTTATCTTACATATTCTACTGTAAAAGCTAATATTTAATTATTCTCTATTACGCAAAGTCCATAGATTTACATATACCTTACAATGAAAGTATTAATCATACAATATTATGTCACTTGTGTAATTTTAACATAAACATTGTATGCATAAAGAAAATAGGTGCAGCTATTTAAAAAGCAAAAAAAATGTACTAAAAGTATCAATTTAACTTAAAGACAGATTTTTTTTCCTCTTATAGTAGTAGCATTGTATTACGTGTTTATAAAAATTGTAAAAATTGTGAAAACTATGTCAATATCTCTGGTTAATTAAAACATTTAAATCTATAATTATTAAAACTATTTATAGAATTTTTTCCAAATTATAATTTTTCTTCATCACTTTTTGTTTACATGACTTTTTGTGCGATAATAATGAATTAATGAATGAGTTATGAATAAATAAAAAAAAAAAAAAAAAAACAATAAATAATTTCTATACATTTACACATTCTAAAAATATGCTAAAAAAATAAAAGATAATTATCGTTCGTAACATTATGAAACAAAATTCGTACTGTAAACGACAAAAATGAAATTTTTCATACTAAATACAAATTACTAACTGACATTGCATTAATCCTTATATTTCATTAAATATTTTCACAATAATTAGAGATTATGATAATAAATGTACAACAAATTTTAACGATAAGTTTAACAACACCAGATATATTATATTTAATATCATAATCATTAACATAGCCAATGTGACACTTCAGAAATGATAGCAGACGTAAAATTGAAGAATTTTACATTAATTTTATCTTTACTTTTAGCCACTCACGCGCAACAAATGTAATTACAGTTCAATAATCATAAAGTAAGCAATACAATGTGTACGTACCCTGCAGCAGCCAGCATTCGAAGGATAACCAGTTGCCAATATTCTTTAACGGATCCCATTAGAATAATTGCAACGCTGAATGTAAATGTGCAGATAGTGAGGAGTCTAACTCTATAATAATTATATGTACGTGAGATAAAAAATTTAGTGAAAATTAAGAGCTTCATAAGTTCTCGTGATTTATTATGTTTTCTATGTTATTCAATAAATTAAATTTCATTATCCTTTAATTATTCTTTCGTAATATTGTTGAGAAATAAATTACTCTCACTATGAATTATTTAATGCTATGAAATTAATAGTTGAGTCATTATATTAATTAATTGCTCGAATTGATGGATTTTATGAATCAGAATCAAGATTGTATTATAATTAGATGTTCTTGTATGTGTTATCTGATGTAACGGTTCTGTATAATCAAATTAAAGCATGGATAAAATATTTGCAAATCTAAGTTTCTCTCTAAGGATGAATTGTAAAAATCGTTGAAAAAATTTTGATGTCCTAGATTTCCTAAAATTTTTAACAGGAAGTCTCGATGAAACTGGAAGTTCTTTAAAAATAGTGAGAATATGGCTTGATTTAATTTCTTCAAACTGAAAATATTTATAATGTTACGACATTGCTTCTCAAGAACTTTATATCGATATTTATTTGACTTGAAAGAAAAATTTTGAACTGACAACCAACATTCTAATCTACAGATATAAATTAAAGTGTCTTCCTTCATTCTGAACGTATAATAGTAATTTCAAATAATAATAAGCTTCATTTAAATAATATAAGTGATATTGTAATTTAAATTTATCTAGATCTCTAAGCTTTATAAAAAATAACAATATTAATAATGTTCTACCAATTAATTAATAATTAAAGGAGAAATTACATTTATATATTTTACAAAAACTGATTAGAATTAAAACAATTGTATAATTATTATATGATGTAAAAGTATGTTTTATGGAAAATTAAATATTCATTATTTTTAAATTAGAAACTTCGTTGAAATAAATTTGGATAATATTTAAGTGTAAAATAATTTTAAAATTAATAGAATAATAGAAAGAAATTATGAAATACGATTGAAAATTCAATGAATTGAATCGTCCCAATAATTTCATTCTAGTCACTAATTAAGCTAAACTATGTAAATATTAATACCAATTTCATTATAAAACTAAAATTATAATTTTAATCGTATAGGTCGAATAAATAAAGCAATTAAAACGTAAAATAAATGAAGTAAACGTCAGTTGCAATTACAAATATCATGTCGATTGCTTAGCAAAAACCGTACATTTGATTGTTATTGTCCGTAGCGTCGGTAGTGATTAATTTACTCGCCTATTATATCGATCGGCGGCAATTCCAAGAATGACGCCAACAATTGTAAAGACAGCGATAAAGCTGGGCCCAGCCAATATTTGATAATCCAAGCCGAGTCCATTGTAGTTCCACTCGCAGTAGCGTGTCCCATTAAGTTCGAGCGACTCGCAACTGGCATTGATAAAGGGACAATATCAATCGGCAATCTTGATTATATCAATGTTTAAGGCGAATAAGCGTATTTCAAGAGAAATTCAAATCTAAACTGTGCACTGCATTAACTGATTTGGATGGATTTGTAGTGCAGTATATTCCAAGTACCGCAGTACAAACACGATGATTTATTTTAATAAGTGAATGCAGTGTCAATTAACCCAAATATGCTTTCATGATATCGTTTAAAATTGTCAAATGTAGTTATTGTTGCTGTTGAGATTCGCAAATGTAGATTATGAAATTCACCAGTTATGCGATGATAATGAAAAATAGCCAGAAGTTTGTAATATAAGTTTCATGATATAAAAAAGGGAAATAAAATTTCATGTATTGCAAATTGCTAAATTATTATCAACGATTACTTGTCAAATGTCCAATTAACGTTTAATTTTTCTTAAGAGAGCAAACTTTATTCGCATAAATATAACAGAAAATATTCATTTATTTTTATAAATGTAAATATAACTTGATATATAAATAAATAATTTAATAGTAAAAATTATGGAATAGTCTTGAAATAAATACAATACATATAGGTACAATACATCGTAGATGAATACTTTTATAATTAATTATTGTATTTTCAAAAATTGACGATATTCTCTTAAATGCTTTTCTTCTTTATATTAAAAATACCATGTGTATTGTTATATAAGCGTATATTTTATAAACATTGCATTCGCTTAAAATTTATATAAATAATTCATCATCGTCTTCACTATTATTATAATAAGCACATCGTATCCTTAATTTGAATTAAACAAAAAACAAAACAAAAAACAAAAAAAAAAGAATCTTCAAAAGTCTCAATATGTATAAATTAATACAGATATTCGTGTATCGGAATTCCTATACATTATGCAATATCTTTTGGGTTCACTGCAACGATGAATTCAATTCTTTATATGTAATTCGATCTTCGTTTATAACGCTCTTACTTTTCACGCTTTGATAACTAATCATTGTTATTCTAGTAAAATATTAAAGTAAGCAATTATGTAATAAATCTTTAAATTAAATTAAAATATCGTACGTGTTATACGCGACATAAATGCGCCATAATGTTACATGTAAAGCAAGTCCTGCTATTTTCTATTTAATTACATTACGACAATTCGTTATATAATTTTGTCATATTATTTTTTACAGTGAAAAACATGATCGGTTATATAAAAATCCTATAATTGAATATTCAAATTAATTATTAGCTTGAAGAAACAAAAACAAAAAAAAATATATATATAAATAATATCTTTATATTCGCTTCAACATAAATTCTCCAAACATTAATTTCCAAATACTATTAATAATACTGGAGAAGAAAGGCAATAATCAGTAGGAAATTATTTTCTAAGTATTAATATGTAAATGAGAAAAAAATATACTTACGTTTCTGAATTATTTGCTGTTTCACATTGAACTGGCAGATCAATAAGAGCCAATGTGGTGGAATTGAGTTGACAAGTTATGTCACCATAATGCAAATCGATTGCAGTTGCTTTACTCGTAACACCTTAAAACATAAATTTAAATGATACATTTGTATTCTGAAAATTCTATGTGCATTTAATTATCAATTAAATTATAAATTATGGTAATATATAGAGCTATTTATGATTTTCATTTAAAACATTGATAATGTTCTATAGATTTTCTCAATTATAGAGTTTGGAAAATTTAAATTGTGCATAAAGTAAGTGATTAGAGTAAGCAACTTACCGATTAAATAATGTCCTAATTCTCCGAGTACATATCCAAGGGACACTACAGCTAGGGCGTAAGGTTTGTAGAAGAATTTTAGTTTTTGTTTCACGGACGATAACATTTTGAAATCTGGAAGGGAGAAATCAAGAATAGAAATAATAACAAATAAATTAACTATAAGATTGTCTAATTTTTACCGTTCTTATCTTTTCGATGGGAGTAATTAAAAACTATACCTCTCTTCAAGGGCATTAAAAATATTGGTAAAAATTATAATTTAAGAGTTTGCTCATAAGACACGTAATATAAAAATGTCATATTTATCGTTAGAAATTATTATCGATTATTTTTAATTTAATGTTAATTCAAAATTTTTCCCATTTCAAAATTCAGTGCATCATACTTCATCAAATATTTATTATATTCAATTAAAAAAAAATTTATATATATATATATGAATATTAAATCGGTCATAAAGGCATTTATTTGAGATAGAAATTCTCAAATTCATAAAGCGTCCTTAATATATCGATAAAATAGCGCGTTTAATTGGAACGAGTGCAATATTATTGTGATCTTTTTGTTTTATTTATTAACGTATATTACGAATATTACGTAAATTCTGTATCATCGGATTTTATATAAATTATAGGTTAATCCGCATCAAAATTATATTAAATTAGAATGAATGGAATGGCTTCGGAATAGCATTGAAAAATATTTACTCAAATCGAGTAATGGCGATTTCATTTTAAAATACTCCTTTATTCCGTAAGAATTATTTCTTTTGTGTTCGAAAATTTTAATTTCAATTAAAATATGCTTTCAAATGCCAACGTTCAAATTATTAACATTATTTAACATCAAGCACTACTTCATTTTAAGTAGATTAAATTGTAAATTCTATAAACTTATTCGTCAACTTTTTAATACGCATACTCAAACACGGCCAATGTTGTACATAAATTATTCATTGCAAAGAGACAGAATTTTAAAAAGCACGAAATGCACTTTGAAACGATAAAGTCCCTTATTTCTTATACATTACACACACACACACACACACACACACACACACATATATATATATATATATATATATACACACACATATTATCAATGTACAGACATTGAACTGTTTAATAGCGCTTAATAATTATGCGGACCCGACCCGAAGAATCCTTTCCCTATATCAGTACGCTACATTGTACAAACTATAAGAGCTTGCGTTATTTGAGTATTAGGATATCGTAAAGATAGCAGCAACAAGCTTCACTCGAATAATGTAAAGCTCATGAATTATGTATTATGCTGTGAGCTTCGCAAACAGTGTAATGGTCGTGTAAAAAAAAAAAAAAAAAAAAAAAAAGGTAAGCGTAAAATTATAAGATTGTGGCAGTGCCATTATAATATTCATAATGAGCAGCGAGGCGTTGCCTACGTCGGGTGTTGCGAGGATTGGCCACACGACTCAAGGACTCGCTGATGCTGATCCGCGCAGAGTCACAGGGGCGCGCAGCATGCAGGAAATGCAATCGAATTCTAATTCGACGCGCGCCGCAGCTCTTTAACTCGACTTATTATCCTTGCCTTTATGACGACGTTTTGCGTGCTACGTGAGTTTTCGTTCACGAGCTGAAGATTCGAGCCACTGATAGAGCGAACACACACCTTGATAAGGCTTTGAATAGTGATCGAATAGTCTTTAAATGGTACTGGAGATTGAATGCAATGCAAAGTCCTAAATACGACGACGATCGAGTACGCTTGATTTATATAACGAGTATTGATCGCACCTCGATTTCTCGTTTACATTTGCATTCTGGAATTGGAAAAGGCAACATTTTCATTGGACGAATGGCACGATTTAAGAATCACTTGTGTAACGCGCATTGGAAAAGCATTACATACAGCCAAATCGTAAGTTCATAAATTATTGCGTTTTTTTTTTGTTTTGTTTTGTTTTTTTTTTTTTTTTTTTTTTTTTTTTTTGTTGTTTTTCTTTATTGTGTTTTTTGTTCTTTATCATAATGACAACTCACAGCAATGGCTGAGGAAACGCTTTTGATCCTGGAAATTGCCTTAATGGCCGGCAATGGTATTTAATTCAGTTTCGAGATTAATCGAAGCGACTAAATGAGCCTGCCAACGTTGCTCGAGTCGTAAGGGCGGAAAACCTTTACGGCGTACGAATCGATCCAGTCTCGCGCCGAGCTATCGAAAAAAAAAACTTGCGGCTCGGCGGAAAATTCGGCCGAGTTTGTGCGAGCCCTAACAGAGAAAGGCCAGATCGCCTTGTGCCAGAATCACCGAGCCGTAACAATTAATATCATTGTAATGACGATGCTTATTCGCATTATAGGCGCGCTTCGACAGGTCCCATTGTTTTCCGCGCAGGATCGCCTACATAGAAATTGCCTACAAAGAGAAGGGGAAGGTGTTGCGGGGGCCCGTTTCGGGCCTCGCTCTCCTACTCGTTAATCAGATGTAATGAGAATGCGGTTTTTGCGCTCCCGACGCGGCGTTAATCCCATTTTTATGCGTTTTTACGACGGTAGCTTTGAGCTGGAGGCCGAGGGCTGCTACTACAATTTCAACGAGATAAAGCGTTAATTGACGGCGGACTGTGTGACTGCTTAACTAAGGATTATGCGTGTCAGAGTCGATTGTGTTACATTGCGTTTTAATCGTCTTTTCTTCCGTTAATGTGCTAAAGTTGTATTTGGTGAGCTTTACAATAGTATTAAATAATGGCATTGTACTTAAAATTATAAACATTGTACAAATTGTACTTAAAATTGTACGTTTTAGAAAATGGAAAATGTGTTATTGTCTCATATAGAAATAGTCGATTGATTATCGATATCGATGTAGTACTCTGTTTCGTATAATATTCGATGCTGCGGATATTAATACGGATTATTCAGATATATTCGATAATTTTCTAATAATATTTTACTTCGAGTTAATATCATCCCAGTATCTAATAGTGGCTTGCCTCAATATCTCCTCTCCATTCAATAATAGAACTTATATTGCCATTAACGAGACATTTATCGATATTATTAGAATGTTTTAATAGAAAAAAGGAAAAATGATTATGATTCTTGAGCGCTTACACAACTGTGTAATAATTACAGTTTGTATTACACGCGATTGTGTTGTTGTATACATCTAATTTTTTTTTTTTTTTTTTTTTTTTTTTTTTTTTATTATATCGTTAAAGAATTATCTTTAATTGTCATCTCTATGTGATTGTTGAATGCTTCATCACATTGCCAAGTAATCATCGCTCGTCTCAATTTTTAACAAATCATAATTACAATACGCTACAGCTGGCAAACGAATGTAAAGTGTTTAGTCGTATAAAGCATAATGATTTATCTTAACATAAGCAATCCCTAGATAAAGAAGAATCTTTAATTTTTAATAATGTAATTAATTGAAAATTACACGCTAAATTTATGCTTCGCGTAGAAAACGAGGTATGTTAAAAAAAAGTACGCAGATAAGGTGCGCGAAGCGAGCGGCTGGAAATTGAAAGGAACGAACGAGGCGCGATCCGCGCGCACGTGGAAGTTTTACGCGTGCACACTGTCACGAAGAACAGAGGTAGAGAGCGAGAGAGGCAAAGTTCATGGACGGCAAATAGTCGGGCGGAAGGTAAGAGCGCGAGCGCAAGGTCACAGCATTAGAAGATTCACTTTCGCTTTTGCAGGCCGCTCGTGACCACGAGGACGTTGCGTCAAATGAATGCAATCAAATGAAAACCACTAATTTCAGGTTGCAAGCGGCTGCCATTGCACTTGGCTTTGACGTAACAAAAAGTGTTTGTAACGGTTGTGTTACGCGTTAACCGTATACTATTTGCATACCTTGTAGGAAGCGTTTCAGCCTTGCGCCAACGAAATCCTTGATGATTTGGAGAAACTGGTTCTAGATATAAAGTTACAATTTGCGATTCAGCCTTTATCATAATGAGCAATGTTTTAAAAAATGACTCTTCGTCAGCTAACATTAGAGAGTTGATGAGACATCTTCCTTATCTAATTGCAACAAATAATCCAATATAATAAGCATTGAAATGCACTTTATAGTAATAAACGTTGTTTTCGACTGTATCAAAGTGTAAAAGTGTACAGATTAATATTATTGCAGCAATTTTAAAATTGTATTTTATTAAGTGTGGAAAATAATTAAAGTACGCCCATGATAATCGATGACGTTGCTAAAGAAACAAATTTAAATTTAAATTTAGATCATTGTTGGGAGATCTAGATAAATTTCTATAAAAATGCAAATTGATTTTTATAATTGATGTGGGAATAATTACAAATTACAAAGTTTATAATTATATTAAGAATTATTTGTTATATAATCATAAAGTATTTTCGTAGAATTTAAAAAAATCAAAAAACCTTTTGAGAAAAATTATATATATATATATGATATTTACAATTGTTTCGGATTGTATTTTACGTCATTATATTATTCAGAAAATAGTTCAGATTTGAGGCAATTACGATGGTGCTCGCGAAACATAATGAGAAACGGTACAATGAAATATATTGAATATGAAATATAATTCATGATTTGTGCAGTTAAATGCGTTATAATCATTAAATTCACACGAATGGCTGCTTTCAAAGGGTAGCATATTAAATTTTTTTATCTTCCCACGATATAATATTTAAAATTGACATGTAAGTTAAACATTTGTCGTGTATTTCAATAGGCGACGTAAATCAACGAACTGAAAAAATGATTAAACACCGATACTAATGAAAGTATTTTAATAGCAATGCCCATGAGTATTGATTTTCGAAAAAATAAAAAATAAAAACGTACACAGATAAATTATTACACGGATAAAATCTATTATTATTCGTTTCATTTGAATTGCTCAATCATAATTTACACATCGTACTTTGCTATTTAAATTTAATTACAATTTATTCGTTATTACAATTATATTCTTGGAAAAATTCAAGGCTTCAACGCAGCTAAATTCTTCTTTTGGAAATTTTAATGATTATAACAGAATTATAGCTCTATTATTAAAGCTGGAAATAGAAAAATGGGTGTGTTATTGAAGAAAAATATGTTGTTGTTGTTGTTGTTGTT